GAGGGGTCCCAGACAGTAAACATCTGACTGAACTTTGAGCAGTCAGAGTACGTGCAGAAAGGGAGCTACTGCAAGGACTATGTCTTTTGTTCACCGCCTTCCCAGAGACTGCTTGCTCAGTCTCAGGAAACTGAAATTGAGGCCTGATCTCTGAGAGAAGACTGAGCAGCCTGTTAAGGCATCTGCTTGGTCCTTTCAACTACATATGTGAGGTTCTGTGTTCAATCTCCAGACTGCAATAAACAACACCAAAAATATGTTTCATGAAGACATTTTTTTTTTTTTTTTTTTTTTTTTTTTTTTTTTTTTTTTTTGGTTTTTCGAGACAGGGTTTCTCTGTGTAGCTTTGCGCCTTTCCTGGTACTCGCTTTGGAGACCAGGCTGGCCTCGAACTCACAGAGATCCGCCTGGCTCTGCCTCCCGAGTGCTGGGATTAAAGGCGTGCGCCACCACCGCCCGGCTCATGAAGACATTTTTATCTATCATACTCTGCTATCCACTACACCTTCTAGCCTTCTTGTCTTCATCCTCAGCTGCCTGTAAGAAATGAAATACTTCACCATGAATATGCATGCCAGCCTTGGCTCAGGGGCCATGTTGGTCTTCTCTGTATTGGTCTAATTTTAGTATATGTGCTGCCAAAGTAAACACCTGATGCATTTTTTTTTTTTTCCGAGACAGAGTTTCTCTGTGTAGCTTTGCGCCTTTCCTGGATCTCGCTCTGTAGACCAGGCTGGCCTCGAACTCACAAAGATCCACCTGCCTCTGCCTCCCAAGTGCTGGGATTAAAGGCGTGCGCCACCACTGCCCGGCGAACCTGATGCATTTTAAAGTACAGGAAACGAGATTTTGTTGTTGCTTTTGAGACAAGGTTTCTCTACGTAGCCCTAGCTGTCGTGCAGCTCACTAAATCGACCAAGCTGGTCTCACAGGCCTCTGCCTTCAGCGTGCTGGAATACAGGCATGCACTACCATAGCTGGCTTGCCTTCGGTTCTTTTTGTTTTGGAGACAGGGTTTCTCTGTGTATCCTTGGCTGTCCTAGAACTCACTCCTTAGGCCAGGCTGGCCTCAAACTCACTGAGATCCCCCTGCCTCTGACTCCAGAGTGCTGGGATTAAAGGTGTGCACCACCATCACCACCACTACCACCGGTTATCTTAGGTTCTTAAAGGGACTTATTTGCTGGGCCCTACCTGACCTGTCAAATAGTTCTAAATAGGGGAGTAAGGATTGAGAAATTATAGGTAGGAAAAATAGAGATGTAGACGTAAAAGAAAAAGACAGAGACACAGGATAGCTTTGGGAGGGCTCTGAGTCAATACCACAGCAGCTACGAGTTTTATTTCTCAGAGCCTTTTTATACCCAAAACAGGGGAGGCAAAAAGACCTCCCCCGCTCAAGGACACCCTGGTTCAAGGTACTGACAAGCATAAACACCTCCTTAATTCTCAAGACACCTGGTAACCACGCCTTTGGCCAAATATCCTGTTATCCAGCCTTGATGAGTAAGACATCTAATAGCCACGCCTTTGGCCAAACATCCTGTTATCCAGCCTTAAAGAGTAAAGACGAGCTTGAACTCTCTGACCTTGAGTCCGGATGAAAATCAAATCACAAGCTGGAGTCACTGTGGGCTCCCACACCTATTGGTAAATTTGACTTAACTGCTGAAATGTCTCACTGAAAAACAGATTAGCCAAATTTTAACAAAACTGGTATAAACTAGTACAATATTCTTTCCTGCTCTCACAGCATAACATTAACAGTTCCAAGCATATGTCAGTTCTTTAAAGGGTCAGTAGTACCTATTATTAATGAATAGTTCTCTGACAACCAGATCTATCAAACTGTCAGAGCTATCCCAAGACTGCCTCCCTGAAGCCAGATCTTGCCTGAAAACATATAAGGCTCATATTTATAAACGACATTGGAGAGGACTTTTTTTTTTTTTTCCGAGACAGGGTTTCTCTGTGTAGCCTTGGCTGTCCTGGAACTCACTCTGTAGACCAGGCTGACCTCAAACTCGAAGAGAATCCTCCTGCCTCTGCCTCCGGAGTGATGGGATTAAAGGCGTGCGCCACCACTGCCCGGCACCTGGAGAGGACTTTTATAAATCTTACTTTCTATTAGACAAACCATCCCATCAAATTAGCAAAAATGTACAAAGTCAGACAGTACTAGGTGCTAGAAACTCTGCTGAAGAGTTGACCATCTCTAATCCCCAAATCCAAACTGTTCACAACTTGTATATTTGTGCTTGAAAAGTTTCAGGTTTCAGGGGCCAGTGAGATGGCTCAGTGGATAAAGGCATTGCTGACAAGCCTAATGCCCTGTGCCTGACCCTGGAACCCACATGATAGGGGACACAGGCTCCCCTAAGTTGTTCTCTGACCCCCCCCCCACTTTTTAAAAGTTCTCATGTTCTGTTATGTCATAATATGTACATAGAATAATATATACAGTAAAAATGGTTAAAATGGTTTTAGTCTTTGTTTTGGGAGACAAAGTCTGTAATTCTGTTTGGCCTGGAACTAACAGAGCCCCACATACCCCTGCCTCCTTACCACGAACATTAAAGGCATGTGCTACCCTAGCATCTTTTCTTCCACAATTAAAAATTTTTAAATTCAGCCAGGTGTGGTTTAATCCCAGCACTCTGGAGGCAGAGGCAGGCACATCTCTGAGAGTTTGAGGCCAGCCAAGTCTACAGAACTAGTCCCAGGACAGCCAACATTACACAGAGAAATCCTGTCTCAAAAGAAAAAAAACAGAAAACCAAAAACAAATGAAGAAACATATATAGCACTACTGTCTTTTTGTGTGTTTTAGGTCTAAAGATGACACAATTCTTTTTTTTAGGTGAACAATGGAAAACTGTTCCTTACTCATTGAAGAAACACTTGAGCACAGTGCTAACTCAATGAATTTCTAATCTCAAGATTTACATTGTCCTTTTCGTTTGTTTGCTTGTTTGTGGTGTTTTAAATCTGTTTACAGGGGGCTGGAGAGATGCTCAGTAGTCAAGAGCACTGGCTACTCTTCCGGAGGACTGGGGCTCAGTTCCCAATCACCCACACGAGTGCTCACAACTGTCTATATAGCTCCAGGGTATTTGACACCCTCCTCTGAGTTCCTCAGGTACCAGGTACACAGGTAGTATATAAACATATATACAAGAAAAACACCCATACACATGAAATGAGTTGTTTTTTTTTTTTTTAAACTGTTTTACAGCTGGGCATGATGGTCCATGTCTTTAATTCCAGCACTCGGGGCAGAGCCTAGAGGATCACTGTGAGCTCTAGGCCAGCCTGGTCTATATACTAGTTTCAGGCCAACCAGGACTACATAGTGATGCCCTGTCGGGGTGGGGAGTGGGGATGGGGCCACGATGGCGACGCATGGGCCAAACAACAAAAACTATACTATGAAAAAACCCGTCTTGTCTACTTCAGGAGGAGTCCAGATGCCATTCTTTCGAAATTATTGCTGTGTTGAAGTAACCAAACGATCTACTTTGAGAAAACAATAAACCAGGAAGTAATAAGACTAAGTTCTGGCAGTTGCTAGAACTTAACCCAATGAAGTCATCACACCAGTCATAAGATCTGCATTCTAGTTCAATCTGCACATCGAAACGTCTGACTCAGAACATACTCTGCTTGGGAAACAAGGTCCAACTCCTGTGGCCTAATAAAAATAAAATGCTAGGTACAATGGACATTTTCTGAATTTCAATTCACTTCCAATTAAAATCTACCTGCTCTTTATAGTACATTGGGCTGAAGAATCAAACTGGGGCTTTTGGTTCATGCTAGGCAAACCAGATATATTCCCAACGTTTCCTTCAGTTGTATGTTAACTAGTCAACTTTACAGAGTGAAGGTTATCTAATCTGTTAACATTTCTAGACGTGGGGAGGTTGGTAGCCCGTGCAAACAAAGCTGTTTTCAAGGTTATTTACGTGGCCACCCCGTGACTCCGCATGACATCGCGATCCACGCAGCCCTGCTCGCTCATTCCTTGTTTATCTGGATGAGGGAAAAGCGGCCACACCCAGGACGTCTGAACCCAGTCCTGAGGTTCTAGGATTGACTGCTCCATTCCCTTCCTTTGCACAATAGGCACCCCAACGAGAGAGGTGGGTGAACCCCGGGTATTGAGTCTAATAGACACGTGTCCTCTTCCATTGTTTGGAGACTGCTGAGGAGGAGGAGGAGGATCTGCCTGGCCGGCGGGGCCGGGTCTCGAGCTGAGCCCTCAGCCTCCAGCTCCGCAGACGCCCCACCCCCACGTCTGAGCCTGTGGGCGGCTAAGAAAAAAGACAAAGCCGCTAGAGCGCTCTGGCTGCAGAAGCATCCATGTTTACACTGCAGGGGCCACAGCAAAGCTAAGGTCCAGCAGCGCGAGCAGCGTTGGGTCGCAATTCAGGCTTTGACTTAAGCCCGCCAAGCGCGGGGTGCGAGAGGACCAGGGCACCTGGGTTCCGAACGCGGGAAGACAAGACCCCTTCCCCCCACCCCAAGCAGGAAACACCGGTATTTCGAGAAAAAAAAAAAAAAAAAAAAAAAGAGCCGCGGCGCATGCGCACTCGGTTACTTAGCAACGTCGACGTTAAACTGCCCCAGAACCGAGCCCAGCAACAATCGAGCGGCCCGCGTCCCCCACCAATCAGCGCCGGCCGAACCCTCGCCGCCTCGCCAATCAGCGCCGGCGCCGCGAGGAAGTTTCCAGAGCCTTCGAGGGAGGGCCCTTTAACGTGGATCCATCCGCCCGGGGATTTTTTTTTTTCCGTATTGTTGTCCTGGAGGAGACGGGTCGCCGGGTGGGAAGGGGCTTTCCTTTGTCGGTGCTCTTCTCTTCGGTCCTGAGGGCCGGGGAGCCCGGTTGAAGAGCCTGACCGAGTCGTAGGCGGTGGGGTCCGGGGGGGACTACTTTCGGCGGCGCAGGAAGACGGCGGCTGCGTCAGAGTGATGCGTGACGCCACGGACGCCGCATAAATAGCGGCTCGCGCGGCCGCGGCGCTCAGTGACGAGAGGCTTTGTCTGCTGCGGGGCTGCTTGCGTCTGGGTGGCTCGACGCGCTTCGGCGGTTTGCGGTTTCATCACACTCGTGGACAGGTGAGGGTCTGCGGCGCTTTAAGCAGAGTCGTGGCGGGGCCGGGCCGCGGGGGCTCGCGGGGGGCCGGGCGGGCTTCCTCGGGCCCGGGTGGGGCGGGGTGGGGGAGGGGAGGGCAGGGCGAGCCGACGTGACGCGGCGGCAGCGGGCCTTCCGGGAAGAGGGGGCCTTGTTCGCGTGCGCGGAGCGGGGCGGGGGCGGCCCTGGCGCGCGCGCCAGGGAGCTTAACGGACGCCTAACCGATGGAGAGGCCATCGTGGTTATTTCAGTGGGGGAAGGCGGAAAAGAGGTACTCCCGGCGTGTCGCCAGGCTTAACGCGAATCCCGGTGTAGGAGCTACGTGGTTGTGTTTAAATGGGGGTTTTTGTTAAGGGCCTCGTGGTTAGGGGTTTAGATGTTTTTGTTTTATTTTTGACTTATCACGGCCATTACTGGCAGACTCGTCGGATGTCCGGCAAATCCGTGAAGGTTCTGGATGAACGCCAGTGGAGCGTTTGGAACTGCGTTTGCAGTTTGGAACCATGACGAAACAGATTTTTGTTTGGTGAAGAAACGCGGGGGAGGGGTTTTCGCTAGAGGTGTGGGAATCGGAATTTTTATTAGGCGATTAAAATAACAAGTGGCCCTTTACCTTTTAAATTCAAGGTCAAAATGCAGATCTTCGTGAAGACCCTGACCGGCAAGACCATCACCCTGGAGGTGGAGCCCAGTGACACCATCGAGAACGTGAAGGCCAAGATCCAGGATAAAGAGGGCATCCCCCCTGACCAGCAGCGACTCATCTTTGCTGGGAAGCAGCTGGAAGATGGCCGCACCCTTTCTGACTACAACATCCAGAAAGAGTCCACCCTGCACCTGGTCCTCCGCCTGAGGGGTGGCATGCAGATCTTCGTGAAGACCCTGACCGGCAAGACCATCACCCTGGAGGTGGAGCCCAGTGACACCATCGAGAACGTGAAGGCCAAGATCCAGGATAAAGAGGGCATCCCTCCCGACCAGCAGCGACTCATCTTTGCTGGGAAGCAGCTGGAAGATGGCCGCACTCTTTCTGACTACAACATCCAGAAAGAGTCCACCCTGCACCTGGTCCTTCGCCTGAGGGGTGGCATGCAGATCTTCGTGAAGACCCTGACCGGCAAGACCATCACCCTGGAGGTGGAGCCCAGTGACACCATCGAGAACGTGAAGGCCAAGATCCAGGATAAAGAGGGCATCCCTCCCGACCAGCAGCGACTCATCTTTGCTGGGAAGCAGCTGGAAGATGGCCGCACCCTTTCTGACTACAACATCCAGAAAGAGTCCACCCTGCACCTGGTCCTCCGCCTGAGGGGTGGCATGCAGATCTTCGTGAAGACCCTGACCGGCAAGACCATCACCCTGGAGGTGGAGCCCAGTGACACCATCGAGAACGTGAAGGCCAAGATCCAGGATAAAGAGGGCATCCCTCCCGACCAGCAGCGACTCATCTTTGCTGGGAAGCAGCTGGAAGATGGTCGCACTCTTTCTGACTACAACATCCAGAAAGAGTCCACCCTGCACCTGGTCCTTCGCCTGAGGGGTGGCATGCAGATCTTCGTGAAGACCCTGACTGGCAAGACCATCACCCTGGAGGTGGAGCCCAGTGACACCATCGAGAACGTGAAGGCCAAGATCCAGGATAAAGAGGGCATCCCTCCCGACCAGCAGCGACTCATCTTTGCTGGGAAGCAGCTGGAAGATGGCCGCACCCTTTCTGACTACAACATCCAGAAAGAGTCCACCCTGCACCTGGTCCTCCGCCTGAGGGGTGGCTATTAATTCTTCAGTCTGCATTCCCAGTGGGCAATGATGGCATTACTCTGCACTATAGCCATTTGCCCCAATTTAAGTTTAGAAATTACAAGTTTCAGTAATAGCTGAACCTCTGTTAAAAATGTTAATAAAGGTTTTGTTGCATGGTAAGCATATATGGTGTCATTTGTGAAATTTCTGTGGTGGATTGGGTGGGGGACCTCAGCTGTTTGTGATTTTCATCACAGCTTAGATGAGTTGGGAACTTAGCTTAAAAGTTAATGACAAGTCTATAATATCAATTTGCAACAGAATATGGGGGGGGTGAGTCCTGCACAGCCTTTGGGGGAAAGCAGACTTGTCTGAAGCTCATCAAAGACTTTATAGAGGAAAATAGCTAAAGTTTTGGTTGAGCTCTTTGGATGGTGGTGTGTTTAGGTTCCTTGGGAGGGAGGGGTTTTTGTTAGCTAGTTACCCTGAAATACATATCTTACTCATTGCTTAAGATACTGGTTGGTTGGGATAATTCCCTTGACTAGGAAGCAGACCCCCACACTTGGAGAAGTGGTAAGTTATGGAAAAGTTAAAAACCTGTAGTGAATACCTGTGGGTGGAAGGTTTGTATCCTTTAATCCTAGAAGTTTTTAGGAATATTTTTGAGACGGTCTCACCCTGGCTGGCCTGAAATTCAGATCTGTATGTTTCCCCAGCTTACTTTCAAATAAGACTTAAAGACTTACATCTTAGGGTTCACCAAGAACTCGAACCCACCAATCCTGCCCAACTATTTAACTTGAAGTTAATGTCTTAGGATTTTTTAAATGTTTTTGTAGCTGTTACCTTCCAGCTGGAGATGAGGTTTGTAGAATAAATGAGATCCCTGCATTTAATCCTAGCCCTGGGGAAGCTGAGGAAGGCCAGCCTGGTCTACCTATAGTGAGTTCCAGAGCTAAAAGATCCTGTCAATAACAACAAATTGAAATCTAGTTGGAAGCAGGATCACATGACACCTGCAGTCTTATCCTTTTAATAGGTAAATGCCAGCCTGTTATGTGAGCTTTTTTGTGTATGAGTATGTAACAAGCATTTCAGCAGTAAACCTGAATTTTAAACATGGATCTTTCCCATGTTCCCCTTTAATTTACTGGAGGACAAATACATTGGGATCAAACCTAAGTGGTCTGGCTTTTGCAAGCAGCTTGATTTGAGCTATCACCAGCCCTCTATTTAGCCTCCTCCCCTTTTATTTTCTTTACCAAAAAGTGTAGCCCAGACTAGTTGCTTTGAGCACCTAGAATCTTAACTCTGCCTTTTAGAATAAACTCACTGCAGGTGGCATGGTTTTTTTTTTTTTTTTGGTGGTTAGAAGACAAGAGTCTAGGTAGCCCAGGCTAGCCTCAAATTCAAGATCTACCTATCTCTGCTTCCTAAGTATTAAAAATGTGTGCCATCTTGTCTAGGATTTTTTGTTTTCAGATGGCCTATCTAGTCCTGACTCTCCTGGAGTTCCCAATGTAGAGCAAACTGATCTATGAACTCAGATTCACCTGGCTCTGAGTGCTGGGATTAAAGACCTGTGCTACCACATGTGGCTGGCCAGGTAGTTTTTAAGAACCTTGCAGGTCTCATTGGACTGCGTACAAAATTGGAATTTGAACGAGGAAAAGGCACTTACATGTTGGCTATTTAAAATTTTTTTTTTTTTATTTTGGTTACAGTGTTCTGCCTGCATGTATGGCAGAACACCATGAGAGGGCACTAGCTCTCATTACAGATGGTTGTGAGCCACCATGTGCTTGCTGGGAATTGAACTCAGCCGGCTGCTCGTCCAGAGGTCCTCTTTACCTCTGAGCCATCTCTCTAGCCTGGAGGTGGACCTTTGCTCTGAGATAATGTAGCAAGAGGAGAGTTGATAAAATTTCTTGAAGTTGGGCATGGTGGTATGTACCCGTAACCCCCAGGCTGAGGTAATTTTGCTCCGGGCTAGGCCGGACTGTCGTTTCAAGTAAGGCCTTACATGGTGGGTGGAGACAGACTTCGACAAGCTGTCCTCTAGCATATACACATGTACAAATAATGCAATTTTTAAAGGCCATTGCTCTTTCAGGTTCTCCTCTGCCAGGAACAATGTTGATTCCAGTCTAGACTAGATGCTAAAGAAAACATGGGCTCATCTTGGTGCATGTCTTTAATCCCAGCACTGACGCACAGGCAGCAAAGCCCTGAGTGAGGCCAGCCTTGTCAAATAATAAACTCTGGGCCAGCCAGGGCTACACAGTGAGACCTCATCTCAAAAACCACAGATAAACATGGGAGCCAGGCATAGTAGCACACGCCTTTATTCCCAGCATTTGGGAGGCAAAGAGATCTTTTGAGTTTGAAGCAAACCTGGTCTATATAGTGAGACCCAGGACAGCCAGGGCTAAGAGACCTTTTCTAAAAACAAACACGGGAAAGGCGCTAAAAATAAACTGACTTCAGTTCCCCTCGTAGGCCCACCAGCCCTGGCGGTTAATATGGAGAAAGCCTCACCTGCACACCATCTGCCTTGGAATTGCTGTGTTCACAGAACAAGTGGGCACCCTCAGTCATAACCTGGTTTCCCCTCTAAGGAATTCAATAAAGGGGTTGTGTTAGTCTCTCTGTGTGTGTGATGCTGGGGATCAATGCAAGACAAGCACTCTACCACTTGAGCTATTCCCAGCCTTTTTATTTATTTGAGGCAATGTCTCATATAGTCCAGGCTGGCTTCAAATGCCCTGTGTAGCAAAGTATGACCGTACACCATTGCTCGGGACTCCATAGTTGTTTCTGTTTGTTTGTTTTTGAGGAGAAAGAGTAGGTTTGATTTGGTTTTTAAGATAGAGCCTTTTTCTCTTCTGGATTGCAGGAGTGTTCCACCACACACAACTCTGGACTCCTTTAAAAAATTGTTTTTAATTATGTGTGAGTGTGTGTGCATGCGTGTGCAGTCAGTGATGTGCACGTGAAGGCCAGAGGACACCCGCATGGACTCCACAGTACTCTCCTGCTTCTAGTGCAGACCAAATTCAGATCTATGTGGATGAGCCAGCAGCCGCCAAAACCCACTCTGTGTGCAGCTTCCCTGGAAGCTGATTCCCAAACACCTGACTCAGGGTAATGGTTCTCAACTTCAGAAGATGGCCTGCTCTTCTTTTATATCCAACACTTTAGTTCAGATTTTTTTTTAATTGACTTCTAGATTAACCTAACTCCTGTCTGTCCTTCTGGGCTTTTCTTGGAAGCAGGCAGCAGAAATTACTGGAACAGTATGTGTGGCTCCTGTCCCCACAGCAGCCAAGACCTTGAGAAGGGAGAAGGCACAGAGCCAGGAAGCTGAGAGAAACAAGGCCATGGCTGAGTGTGGCAGTACATGCCTTTAATCCAATGGTTCTCAACCTTCCTAATGCTGCACCCTTTAATACGGTTCTTCATGTTGTGGTGACTCCAACCATAAAAGTATGTCATTGCTACTTCATAACTGTAATTTTGCTACTGCTACGAATCGTACTGTAAATATCTGATATGCAGGATATCTGATATTTGACCCCCCAAGAAGGGGTGGCAACCCATAGGTTGAGAGCTACTGCCATCCCAGCACTCAGGAGGCAGAGGCAGCTATTGCAAGTTCCAGGCCCACCAGATAAAAGAAAATCTGGGAATTTTAATGGAGAGAGATTGCCTGGTGGGAGTAGTAGGTCAGGAAGGCTCACTTCTAGGGTAACTATGGTTGACAATAATTAGATGTTCCAAAATAGATAATAGAATAGTGAACACTGTCAACACAAAGAAAATGATCATGTCTAAAGTGGAAGATACGTCAGTCACCCTGGTTGGAGTAGTACATTTGTATACATGTATTGAAATGTCACATAGAACCCCAGCATGTCAATTAAAAACTTAAGAAGAAGCTGGGCATGGTGGCACACGCCTTTAATCCCAGCACTAGCGTCAAAGGCAGGTGGATCTCTGAGTCTGAGGCCAGTTTGGTCTACAAAGTGAGTTCCACAACAGCCAGAGCTACAGAGAGAGATTCTGTCTCAAAATAAGAGGCCTGGATACATGGTCCAGCAGTTAAGAGCACTGACTGTTCTTCTAGATCCAAGTTCAATTCCAGACACCCACTTGGTGACTCACAACCATCTGTAATTCCAGCTCTAAGGGATCCAATGCCCTCTTCTGGCCTTCAGGCACACATGTCATGCACAGACATGGATGTAGGCAAAATACTCATACATAAAAAAATAATAAAATATTCAAAACAACAACAAATTTTTTAAAAGAAACCAGGCCTGGAGGAACAAATTTATATCCGAGTTATTTGGGAGGGTGATGAAAGGGATCAGTATTGGCTTAGGATACCCCAAGACCAAGTTCTCAGCACAAAGGAGATTTATTTGCCCCAGAGGACAGGGAATAAGAGAGAAAAACAGGAGACAGAGGACAAGGGAGAGGGATATTTGTCCCAGAGGACAAAGGATAAAGAGGAGACCTTAGGCAAATGGCAGTTTTTAAAGGTAAAAGAGGTAACACCTTGTTAGGATGAGATTTCATTTTAATTGAGCATGTTAGGGCTGCCAAAGGAAATTTTTTATTACTGGATTTCAATACTTTGATTGCTGGATCTTGGTAGTCAGCCTCAGGAGGAGGAAGTGGCCAAACAAAGGAATAGACCTTGGTGGCTAGCTTTAGGGATGTCATCTAATGTTTTTTAGCAAGTCAGGGGGAGTGGGGGAGAAGGACAAGGCCTGCCAGAGCCATGTTTGCCATGCTCTAGCGGGCTAGAGTCCCTGCAAGTGAGGTAGGAGAATTTGAAGTTCAAAGCCTTCCTAGGATATAGAGTTCAAGGCCGGTCTGTGCATTTCAGTGAGACAATCTTCAGATTAAAAATAAGGGGGTGGGGGCAGGTTGAGGCTTTTAGCTCATTTGGTAGAGTGCTGACCTAACATGCACAAAACACTGGGTTCAGTCCCAAGTACTGAATAAACTGGGTACAGTGGTACTTGCCCATAACCTTACCGCTTTGGGGGGAGAGGCAGGCAGATAGAAGTTTGGAGTCATCCTCAGCTGCATAGAATTTGAGGCCAGCCTGAGATACATGAGACCCTGTCTCAACTAAAAAACAACAACAACAACAACAAAAAGCTAACAAGCT